GGGTTCGGCTACTATAAATAGCCACCTCTCAGACCCTCTAAACACACCAAAAATACGAGCATAAACACAAATAGAGAGAGTGTTTATAGAACTCCAGTTTTCGCACAAAACCGCGAGTATATAAAGAAGTTGTTTTATCCTATAGACGACCAGTTGATAGTCTGACGTGCGCATCGATGGCCCGCGACTCAACTCTAGATTTGGTAACCTCGTTCTTGTTGTATTTCCATTCCTAACACTTGGAGATATTGATTTCGCTCTGTTCAAGAGGAAAGTGCAGCCTATCATCCCAATCGATGGTGCATCGTCGTCATCACCATCTTCATCACCACCTGCAGCGAAGGAGTTAACTAGACCAGGGTTCAGTCCTATACTTATAACCTCTGGCTCTTCAATGGGCTCTTCTGATAGTAAAAGGGAGAAGTTGGAGTAGTTACACTCGGCAGCTGGCTGGGCACACCTGCATTGTGTAAATCCGTATGCAGTCAGGTTCTTCTTACTGTCAATAACCAGTTCGTCACAATTGATTAAGTCGTTGGAGGCATTACAGATGAATCGTACATCATTCTCTTATGTTAATCACATGACTAACACCCCCATATAATCCAATTGTATTGGCTTCTCGCTTTTACAACTAAATGTCCCAATAACTTCAAGATTGGTTATGCCAGAAATCTATCAACTATATCCCATATTTTTGTGAGACTAAGAATCCAGGAAGTCTAACACATATGCATGAATCAAATCATTGAGTCTTGTACTTCAAAAATAACCTAATTCCAAGCTAATAACAAATAGAATTGATGCATTCATCAGAAAGGAAGGCAAGATTAGGTTAGAAAAAGCTTGAGATTAGGTGACCTGTTATAATTTAAGGTGATGACAGTCTTGATTATCCCATCAAGCCTCGGCTTCTTCCTCTTCCTCGTCACATCAACAGAGATATGAATAGGAGTTCCGTGCGAATAGTCTTTAACAGCTTTAGTGACCCGTAGTCCCATTATTGAAGCTGTTGATTTGGAAACATCCATCGAGAGGTCCGCTAGACCAAGTCTTTCCATGGTAGTGCAGTACTCGACATGTGAAACCGACGCGTTCCTCTTGTACACAATTGCACATTCCCGCGGTGATCCCTCTTCTTATCCTTCGGTCTCCCAAGCCTCTAGATCATCCCAATTCAAAGATACATCATTGGCAGCATGCTGGGACCTGCTGGCCAAGTTTCTCGCAGTAGCCTTTGAAATCCTAGGTGATTTCTGTAAGATAATGATATGGGAAACGAGAAGTGATTTCATTGTTTGTGGCTTGTGGCCTTTATACTGATTACATGAGAATACGGTGAGTGTTAGTACAGGAGTGCTGGGAATAAAGAATTTTATTCTTTAATTTCAATAATTTCTTGGCAATAGACAGGGAGATTTATGGTGTACATGGGCTTGGGATGCAGCAGAGTCAAGCAGCCATGGGTCAGGAGACGATGCACGCCCAGCAGTGGTGGCGTGGGCTTGGTATGCCTGCCGAGCCTGGGGAAATAATTGGAAACACTATCGGACGGAATGTCCCAGTTTCTCACAAAATTGGCAGAACACCCTTGGACGCCCCTAAGAAGAGGATTTAGGAGCAGCAAGTGGGCCTGGTGACTGATGAGAGGGGCCCAAGGCCTGTTGAGAATGGGCCGGGGAGTAGGCCTCGTGAAAAGGCTAAGAGGGCGGACGAGAAGGGCGACCGCCAGCAGGGGATGGAGAGCCGCCGCCACGACGCGGTTGTCCCTGAGAAAAGAAGGCAGTGGGTACAGAGACTCCACGCGATTGTTCTTTGAGGTCAGCCTCAAATTCCACCAGAGCATCCACGAGATCTTCAATGGTGGAGGGAGCGCCGCAACCCCGAAAAGCAGCAGCGAACTGATTATAATCGGGGTCGATCCCGCGGAGACAGTGGACCATCAAATCGATGTCAGAGACTGGGGCGGCAACAAGAGCTAACTCGACAGCAATGAGTTTCAAGTCGTTGACAAAAGTGAGAACATCCCGGTCGCCGCGGGTTGTTTTGGCCAATTTGCCCTTTAAATGGATAATGCGGGAAGAAGAGTTGCTGCCATACAGCTTCTCGATGATTAACCAGGCCTCACGAGAGGTTACAGCCGCCGATACAAAGGAATAAAGGGAATTCAAGATTGAACAACGAAGAGTGTGGAGGATGAGATTATCCTGGCGAAACCGGTGATGATAAGCCGGATTTGGAGCCTCAGTAGAATCACCGGTAATGGTCTAGGCAGGGATTGTGCCAGTGTCATCAATAAAAGAGTGAAGGTCGAGACCCATGAGGAGAGTCTCTAATTGAGAACGCCAAGAATTGTAATTGAGAGATGTTAACTTCAGGGGAAGCTGCGCTGCCTGCGCAGCAGGGTTAAATGTGATTATTGGCTTGTCGACAGTGGAAGAACCTGAAGGACGAGAGACAGTACCGTCAGCATAATGACAAGAAACAGAAAGGTAGATAATCGAAAAAATTTGAGATATGGATCGATTCTAACTGATCTTTGCTAGCTTTGATACAATGTAAGACAATGATATGGGAAACGAGAAGTGATTTCATTGTTTGTGGCTTATGGCCTTTATACAGATTACATGAGAGTTAACAAGAGAGTTTGTTACAGGTTGTTGCACTAATATAGCATCCACTACTCAACTACTTGGAGAATACGGAAAGGTATTCACAGGCGACAAAATGTATGCTTTAACTTGGTTAAAACGTGATGGTGTGGAGATAGAGGAAGTAACGAACACAAGCGACATCTTGGTGTTTCCACTTCGGGTTAAAATATCTTTTCTAAGACCGATGGGATGGCAAAAACTTCAGCAGAGATGGAAAAGCCTTTAGTACGAAACCCATATACCTGTGCTAGTCAACCACATTGGGAACCAAGGAGATATAGGAGGGGAACCCAATACTTGCATATAGAGGAAGAAAAAACTGGTCAATCGACCCAACCATTGATAGTCATTCCAAGTTTTGCGTAACATCGTTATACTGTACATATACACAAGGAAACTATTATCTCATATCTTTGGGGCAAAACATCAAACACCTCGTGGACGAGAAGATGATGTTTAGCTGAAAAAATGTTGCAACCAGATAAGGACAATGAGAAGCACTGACCAGATGAACTGAGCTTAGAGAAAGGATGAGTAACTGAGAGTCGTTCTATTCAACTTTACCGTCAAGAGCTCTTCTCCGGAGTGAGAGGTGGGCGTTCGGTCGGTTCGGTTTGAACTGAACCGAACAAGCATCCCTAATTTTCCGAACCACAACATCCCCCAACCGAATTCGAACCGAGTTATAATTCGGTTCGATTTGGCCAAACCGAATTATAGATCGGTTCGTTTCAATTTTCTAATACAAACCAAAAATATGTATGTTTTTAATTTTTGTGCTTCTGTTCTGTCTTCTGGTCGCTGGAGAGCTGCTGCATTTTGGCAATAGGGCTGCTGCATTTTTGGAAATTGGACAATAGGCCTGCTGCGATCGGTGCCAGGCTCGTAGAAGAGTCAGTGACGGCCGGGGAGACTCGACGATGGCGGGTGCCTGCCTGGGTGGGAGGGACTGTGGGAGGCGGCGACCGGTGGCAAGGGCGGGGATCAAGTCGAGAGGGAGAGGCCGTCAGCAATCTGGTCGTCGTCTCGTCGAGGTCGGGGCCGGGACGGGGAGACGCAAAAAACGACGCAGCCTCGCAGCCGCAGATCGTGGCCGTCGGCGTCGGGCTCGGGTTGTCGGGCAGAAGGCAGTGGAGTGGAGGTCTGGAGGTCGGAGGAGGAGGAGTAGTCGTCGCTTCTTCCTTTCCTTCCCAACTTCCCTAGTTCATTTTCACTTTGCGTCTCGATTTCGAAAATTGTCTTTCTCTAGGGTTAGAATGAAGATTTGGATGTTGGACGAGTAGAGGTAGACGGCCTGAGCAGTGAGCAGCAGCCAGCAGGCTGAGTGGGCTGAAAAAAGGCCCAATCAAATTTGTGGGGCGGAGTGGGCTGAAAAAGAGGGTTGGGCCAAGTATTGGGCTGGGGCCTAGGGCGCTGGGCATTAATTGGGTTGGGTTGGGTAGTTGAATATTTTAGAATTCGGTTGGTAGTTTCGGTATTTTGGTTCAGTTCAAACGAGTCTGGTTTCCGAAATCCACCATATCCACTTCCGAATTTCGAACGTATGTATTTCGATTTCGGTCAGTTTTGGTTCGATTCGGTTTGGTTCGGTAAAACTGAACCTAATGCCCACCCCTAGGAGTGTAGTTAGAGAGAGAGAGAGATTAGGAAGATCATAGGGTTGTTAATGATCCAAGCCAACTTTGTCATAGTTCGGGCTCGACTCATTAATATATTTTCAAGCTCGAGTTCGTCTCGTGTTCGTCACGAGCTTTAATGTGCAAGCTCGTGCTCGACTCATTTATGAAAATGAAAGCTCGAGCTCGGCTTGTCAAATAAGTTTAACGAGCCCAAAATCGAGTTCAGCTCATAAAATGTTCAAGATAATTCAAGATTGACCTAGAACTGAGCACAAAATTACATTCAAACCTGTAGCAAAGTCTAGCAAAATAAAACACAATGTTCATCCCAATTTCAATACATAAAGTTCATGAATTCAAACCTTTCTGATGTCAAACTGTTAAATGAGCTTGTTCACGAGCTTTCGAACTGAACATGGTATGGCTCGAGTTCAGCTCATTTAGTTAACGAGCTTTTTCGTAAGCCTCTCGATTAAGACGAATTGAGTGTCGAACGAATTTTTCTCGAATTGGATGTCGAGTCATTCATTAGCGGCTTGGTTCATTAACAGCTTTAGGAAGATGGACATCCGGGTGGAGCTAAATGGATTGGAGGACGGCCTTTAGTGTAGTGCCATCCCTTGAGCCCAGTTATTGGCAACTATAAGCCCATTCGTTCCTAAGCTCAAGTCTTTGCTAGTGGCCCAGTAATCGTGGACCTGCTGGCTCACAAAGATAGAAGTGCAAACCGCAAAATTATATCGCTTAGCAACTGTTCTCACAGAAACGCAAGATATGTAAACTGGAGCAAGACAAGGGGTGGATTCACAAAATCAGAAGACTTTTCATCAAAGTTCAAGCTTCACCACAAACTAAGAAACTAAAAGAGTACACAACATTCGGTAAAACACAGTACAGTAAGCCTGAGAGTCAGCAACTAAGAAGGATTAGAGGTTGGGGAACAACTAGAGTCTGCAGACGAACTCAAGGCACACACACAGCCTTTCAGATCAATTAAAAGCTAGACGAAACACAAACTTCAACGATCAAGCCGAAATCCGAAGCTTTTCAGTTTTCAGGAACAATGTGTCCCGTCCCAGGCCTCTACGGGTCGAGCTCGGCATAAGGAGTCTCCACCTGGGCTTGCTCTGCTTCCTGAACCTCCTTCTCGGTCTTCCTCCCTTTCTTACACTTGTAGTACACGCTCATGAATGTGCCCACAGCTTTGTACTTCTTCCTGGCCTCCTCGTACAGCCCACCATCAAACATTCTCCAGAAGCTCCTCTCATTCAGCTCCGAGACGGCGTACTGTGGCTGGAAACCGTGGTTCTCGATCAACCACTGCTCCATCCGGCGAACAGCCTCAGCTCCATCAAATACCTCGCCTCTCAGGACAGGACCCGGTGCGTAGTACACTCCGACATCCGTGTACATCTGAGCATATGAGGTGTCTCCTTGTCTGCGGTGGGTCTCGAATCCTGGCTCGGGGTAGATCATGGTCTTAATAGGGAGCCTGAATAGCTTGTGAGGGCAGAGCCATATAGGGTATACCTACAAATCGCCACCAGTGGAAAACAGGTTACATTACAACATGTTAGAAACAGAAAATAAGATCTGCACCGGTTGCTACATTAACAAAGAAGAGAAGCATAGTAGTCACTGATTTCACCATGTTGATACCTTTTTTTTTTCTTTTATAAGTCGCATTGAATACTTAAATATGCAAATAGAACAAAGACACAGGGAATGCTGTTTTACCTCCATCTCACGGTGGACCCATTCCAACGCATCACCGACCTTGTACAGAGGAACAAGCATATCCTGGATAACATGCATCTCATGGTAGTAGTTTCTGATTGCTTCACCTTGTGTGGCCTTGAGCAGAGAGACCTTAGGAGGCATCAGCCAGCCCAAGAGATACCTAAACCAAAACTGGTCAGCAAATGGGAGAATGAGCTTGCCTTCCCAATACAAACACCTGGTATGCCTGTGATAGTATTCCCTAGTAGGAATGTACTCCACAAACTCCCCTTTCTTCAATGCTGTCTGCGCATGTTGGTAGAACCACGGCTTGAACCACCAACCGACGCTGTTGATCTTGTTTCCCTTTTGTTTCGCCTCTTCTTTGGATGCATATCTGCCAGTCATCATCACACCTTCATGAGGGTTATAAATCATAGCCTCCACAAAATCTGGGACCTTGTCAGGATTATCCTGATCTCCATCTTTGGGTGCAAAAGAGTCGATATAACCCTGTGCCAGATCTTTGAGGCTACCCTTGACAGGATGGTAGGTGAGCTTCATGTACTCTTTGATATGGATAAGCTTGATCTCAGCGGATACAAGAAGCCCAAGAGTTCCCTGAGACCAAGGGATGGCATAGAACAAATCGGAGTACTCATTGTCCTTGGTGGCTCTGACGACCTGACCATCAGCTAGAACAATCTCATAAGCCACGACAGTGTCGGAGAACAGGCCATAGATGTGAGAGCTTCCTTCTATCCCATAACCATTGATGAGTCCACCCACAGTGAGATCGTCCAGCTCAGCAACCACTGCAAGGGAAAGATTCTTTGGCACTGTGGCCCTGCTTATCTGTCCCATGTTGACAAGTGGCTCAACCTTAGCAATCATTCTCTCCTTGTCAATTTCAAGGATGTTTCGGAATGCAGATAGGTCGACTTCAAAGTGTCTTGCTCTTTTGTAGTCAACATTCCGCATGCCAACTGCAATCCAGGGTTTACGAGCAGTACAGACGAGACCATCCTTTGATGGGTTTCTTTCCTTAAGTCGCTTAACGACTTTCTTGACATTTTCATCATGTTCCTTTTGACGCTTCTTGTAGGACTTCATCTCAGACTTGACATCGCCAAGATAAGTGAGGAAGTAGAGGGTGAAAGAGATTGGAAGGACAACAAAGATGACTATAATCCATCTGAAGTTAACAAAGTAATCCACCCAAATCTTCTTCCTCTTGGGGCGCTCAGTCAAAGGAACTTCTAGATCAGACATTCTGCTTCTTCTCCAGAGATATCCTTAGTACCTGCCCCAAAAAGAAAAGAGGACTACAATGAATTAAAGAACACAATGAAGAAATGGTCAGCATAAGTGCTTACGGGCAACTATAAGCATCTTAGAAAGATAAAGTGAAGACAGAGACAGCATGATAACCATTCTCGCAAACTTCGTGATGATCAACAAAACCACCACAATATAAAAAAGCTAACTCCTCGTCTTAGGTCACACATAAGTATAATAATCCAAATAAGGATGCTCCTCTCAGCATTTAGACAAGACCAATTAAAATAAAAACTAAATTGAATCCATCTACAGAAGCACAACCCACCACACCACTAGTTGAAACAATAGCATCAATTTGATCATGTTCTGCTGTAAAGATAGTAACAAACAAGAAAACAGAGAAATCGGGTGGCAATACATACACCAAATTACTAGTTTAGGTCACAACAGTATAGGCAAGAAAAGTGAAAAAGAAGCTACTGATGTCTAAGTTCCAAGCCTTAACACTCCAAACATCCACATGCTGCATTGCCATTAACTATCCAAAATAAATCCCAATAAACAGGGTGAAATGGTCCCCGTCCTCCTGGCCGCGGAGAACATTGCTTTGCACCCTTACACATCTATCATTCATCACACTCAACAATCTTGAATGTCGATCTCACTTGCATGATAGAGAACATCAAAAGGAAAAAACCAGATGAATCAATGCAGCATCAAAACGAGAAGTCAAAAACAGGTACCACTGGTTGCAATAACGCAGTCAGGTAAACGACAAGAAGATAAGTTAAGCTATAATGGAGCTGGTATAGTACTGGTAAGCGGTAGCCATCAGATCTGGTGCAGATAAGGACAGGTAAATGTATACGAACTGTGAAATTTGAAGCTAATTAACACAAACGGATCACTATCAGTCCTTCATGCAAACCAAGCAACCATCCAACGGACCTACAGGAGAAAAGCACAATGCAGATCTACAGCTTCGTTACCTAACCAAAGGAACTTAAAAGAGAAGATCACGAATCTAACTCGCAGAAAAGCCAGTCAATCGCTCGATTGTTTGGTTTCCGGGGGAAAAAAACTATTACGCCATGGACGGGAAGATCGTAACATTCAGTACCGAAGACTGAAAGTCGTGAGCTAGCCAAAAACGAGAGAGAAGCAAAATGCAGAAAAGAAAAACGGCTTCACGGAGATTTTTCAAGTTCCAGTCTCTTTCTCAGCATCCAAACAAACTTTTCTCGGCAATTAACAGTCACACTCTTCGAAAAAGAGAGAAACAACATCAAATCAACAAACCGGTAGAGAGTCGAGCGTTGAAAGTAAAGCGAAACGCCACAAAGAATCGCTCAATCGGAGTGCCGATTTCCCGTCACTTTCTCAGCCGCCAAACAGCGACGTAGTATAGCAAGCAAGAACCGTCGCAAAAAAAAAAGAAAAAAAGGGGGGGGCGGAATAGAGACGCTTGAAATGGAGAAGATTCAGGCATTTGCAGAGAGGGAGGGAGAAAGACTAACCTGAGGAGAAACGGCGGCGATGAATCGCTCAGGCGGCAGGAACCTCACAGTTGAAGCAGGCGAGTGAATGGAGAGAGTGGACAAAAATACTTATACAGTGAGAGCTGCTTCTGGAAGAAGAGTAAGGGCGAGATATTCGTTTCTATTTTCTTTCCTTTTTTCGATTAATTGTTTTTTAGTGAATAATGTCACTTGGAAAAATTAATTCAGATTAGGCAGAAAAGACCAAGGGAGATGAAGATATCGAAGCCGGATCACAGAGACACAGGGGACCGCGATGCGCGCCCAATTGCACTAATAGTTCGCTGTCCGTCGCTTGTGGACCAGTGGATGACTGAATGTGTGGTATTCAAACCGATTGGTTGGTAACCGTTTTAATTGTTTGTATTTGGATAATTTGGTTTGAATAATTGGTTTGGTTTGGTTTGGTTTGATTTGGTTTGGGTAAATATAATATATTATCCATAACTATTAAAAAACGGGGAATTATAGCCACGACTATCGAAATACATATTATTATCCAAACGTTAAGTCTCTATTAGGAATTCTGTTTAGTAATGCTGACTGATCTTTAAGGATGCTGAGTTGGCTCCTACTTGACAGTCAGTATATCATATTTTAAATTTAAAAAATAAATAATTAAAAAATGAAAGAAAAAAATCTTCTTCGGCCCTCCATCTCACCCTGCCGTCGCCTCTCTCTGCCTCTGTCACCGTCGGCCCTCCATCTCACCACCTTCGCTTCCCTCTCCGTCTCTATCACAGCCTCTGCCGCCGATGCTTGGCTCCAACCCCTACCCAAATAGGAGCATTTCAATCTACTGTCTCCTCCCCTCTCAAAAGAGAGAAGAAACTACGGTGCTCTTCGCCTTCCTCACAACTTAAAAAACCAACAGATCTAAAATCTGCATATCTCTGGCGAACTCGATCACAATTGGAGATTAGAGATGGTGGTCACGATTTTCCCTTTTCTTCCTTCCCTCTCGTCGTCGTCGATTGGAAAACCCACAAAAATTACAGCAGACCTAACCTCCGACCTAATTCCATATCTGCCTTATCTAAATGTGTGAGGCGATAGGGATTTTCAGACTATAACCCCACTTCTCAGGTCCGATGCAAGAGAGTTTCTAGCTCCCCATCGACGATCAAGGGGAGGAAGGAGATGGAGGGATGCGGTGGCGGTGGCGGTGGAGTCGGGGTTCACGGTGGGGGAGTACAATTTCTTCTGGGTGTACGATGGGCACGGCGAGGCAGTGATGAGGACATCAATGGGCCAGTCACACGTGCTAAGGCAAGGACATTGAAGGAGAAGCTTGCGACATATTTGGAGAGCTACTTTGGAGCCATGGATGTGGAGCTATTTCGAGGGAAGCCATATATGATGATTCGAGTGGAGGAGGAAGGAGGAAGTGCTGAAGAGAAGGCAGATTGCAAGAAGCAGCCTTAACGGGTTTGCTTAACGGGTCCAGGCTTAACGGGTTTACTTAATGGGTCCAGGCTTAACGGGTTGGGCTTAACGGGTTTGCTGGGCTGTTTCCGAGTTTCCTTGTTCTAAAGTCGGTTTATGATTGTTTTTCCATGTTGGAGTCGGATTTGGGTTGTATTTTGCCTATTTAAAGGGCTGAACACGTTGGTTTTACCTTTAGACGATTATTATTGAATTTCAGAGGCTAAAGCCGAGTTCCCTACGCGGAATTTGCCCTAATTACTCTGTCGAGAATCTCCAGAGTGCTAGAGCGACTCTTATCAGCTAGGTAATCACCCTGGTTGTGGCGAGCTACCCATATCGATTGCCCTTTATTCCGAGTTGAATCTGTCCGATCGATTCACATATCGATTGCCCTTATTCACGGGTGAGTACTGTCCGATCGATTTCCATCCTATCCGGTTCTGTTTGGTTCGAGAAGCTTGACCCTGCGCAACTTTGATTATATCAGGCAGGCGTGGCGAAGTCGTGCAAGGAGCGGCTGCACGAGCTGCTGGCTGAGGAGATACGTGTCGCGGCGGCGACGGGTGGGGGTGGGGTCGGGTTGGGAGGAGTGATGGGGAGGTGTTTCGAGAGGATGGACGGGATGGTGGAAAAAAAGGTCGGATGGTGGGGTCGACTGCGGTGGTGGCCTTGGTCGGGAAGGAGGAGGTGGTGGTGGCCAATTTCAGCTCCCATCATCTTTCTCGTTTGTGACTGAGAAGAAGAAGAAGAAGAAGAAGAGAATGAAAAGAGGGAGACAGGGGACTGGAGGGCGGAGGAAGGGAATGAAAAGAGGAGAGAGGGTTTCCAATTTTAATTTTTAAATTCTTTTATAATTAAAAAATAAAAATTATATATTTAATAATTTGCTTATGCGTACGCCAATATGGAGGCTGACGTGGCAGTTTCCATTAAAAAAATTAATGACGGTAACGAACTGTTAGCCATTTCTTGACTCGCAACAATAGTTATGGCTAATAATTTGTATTTTGATAGTTGTTGCTATAATTTCCCGCTTTTTAATAGTTATGGATATTATATTGTATTTACCCTAAAATTTTTAACTTGTTTGGTTTAGTTTGGTTTAGACACTCCTAACCGATCAAACTAAATTAACCAGTTAAGTAATTAGCTATATAGCTAATATATATTATGTACAAATACTTTATACTTTGCATAACCACTCAAGAGTCAAATGTAAGATAATTGTATTAGTTACATGTATTTTTATTAAGGAGTAACTATAAGTATGTTTTGATTGTTATATATTATTTATTATATAAATTGCGAATTGATGTAATAATCAGAAAATTTTCTCACATAATGATAATGTGATGTTATATTGGTTATTTTGTTAACCAATGAAACAAACTGATTAAACTTCAGTTTGGTTAATTTTTGTTGATGTATTAGTTTGGACGATTTGGTTATGATATTGTATTCCACGGTTAATAGAATTTAGCCTTATTTAGTTTGGTAATTATCATGGTAACCATTTGAACACCCCTAAGTGAATGAGTGAACTCCGAGTTGGATATGAAATCAACAAACCATAACAACAAATTCATCGAACAAATATAAGATTTTTCATATTCATAATCAATCACACTTATCACAAATTCGTGATTTTTAAAAATCCAAGTTTTGATCTTAAATCATCGTATCCAAATCCATGAAGCAAACCACCCCTCAATTTATCATGAATTTGAGAGAAGTTTATTGTTTACTTGTGATTTATTTAGAAACTGTATGGAGCCTACGGATATTCAGAGTTCAAAACTGTTGACCATACATACTTGTAAATTCAAGGATTTGGGATATAACCCCAAATCAATGATAACTATTTACTTTTATGTTCTCATTTCAAAATACAAATGTTTTATCTTCTATTCACGAAGGATGGCAAGTAGATATGGAAACGGGAAGAAATTAAATAGTTTTTTCCCTTGTTCATGAGATTTGCTACAGTACAGTGTAGTGATTATTTGTTGGAAAAATTTGATGTAGCAGTTGCCTGCCAATTTGGAGTGAAAAAAACTATTCTCTTATTGAGTATTAAGGGTAATTATCATTTTAGATGTGGAAAACGCCTATATTCTCCCCTTCTATAGATCCATAACAACAAAATACATAAAAATCCAAAAAACAACAAAATTTCTCAAATTCATCTCAAATCCATGATTTTTTT